GCCTCAGCCTCGCTGCCCCCCCAGGCTCTTGCGGTGGCCCTGTGGGACAGGAGAGCCACCATCAGCGTGGGCAGTGGTGGTGTGGGGCTGGCACAGCCAGGACTCACCTCTGCCCAGGGGCTGGGAGCTGTGCTGGCCGAGGAGAGAAAGCCCAGGTCCAGGCTGGCAGAGGAGTTCAGGGAGCCCTGGGACTCCCTCCACAGCACAGCGCTTCCGCCACCTTCTCCCCCATCTAGGACAGACAGACAGACATGGTGGGGATGGCACGAGGACAGGGACACCCAGAGCTGCCCTGCATGTCTCCTACCTGCCCAGGAGGGCTCCCGTCGCTCGCCCTTGCGGAAGGAACGGCGAGGGCTGCGGTTAGCACCACTGCCAGCTGTCTCCACGCCCAGTGGTAGAGACTTCCCCAGCTTCAGCTTTGACTTCTGGGGAAAAGAGAGGAGGAAGCTCAGCATGGAGGCTGCCCTGTCCCCCACTGTCTCCATCCCTCAGACTGGCCCCAGATGGATCCGTGTTCCCTTGACACCCCACGCACCTTGCTGAGGTCTGGGGGGGGGCTGCTGCTGCGGGAGTGGGGCCGCAGGTCTGGCAGGGGCTGCCCCTGGCTCTCAGCCGTCAGGCAGGCTTGGTAGAGTGGGGACTTGACAAAACGTGTGTAGCTGTCAAACTTCATCAGATTAAAGATCTGAGGGGGGAAAAGGTGCTCGCTCAGCATCCCAGCCTGGGGGTCTGGCTCCTGCCTCACTGCTGGAGTGGGACTGGGGGTTTTTGTCTCACTTGGAGCTGCTGGAGGCGAAACATATCTGGTGAGGGAGTTGCCAGCATGTCCTCCCCGATCCAGGCCTGCCGGTCGATGTTGACAGGGCTCACCGAGTGGCTGGAGAGGAACTCATCGTAGATCCGCCGCGCCTCCTGCGCCAGCTAGGAACAGGACTCAGGATGGGGCCATGGGTCCTTGAGGTCTGGGGGCTGAGTCCCACCCAAGGCAGGACAGGCACTGGCCTCACACCCAGTACGTCTCGATGGAGGAGTTACCTTGCCCTGGCCCCTCCTGTCCTATTCCTTGTATCTCTTTTCCCATTCCTGCCCCTGGCAGCAGCACCCTCCATCCTTTTGCTGGCCCAGAGATGGAGAAGCACAGCCTGCCCTGCGCCCACTTTCTTGTCCCAACAAGAAAAACCCCATCCTCCCTACCAGCAGTCATACAAGCACCCAGGAACACAGTGACATGATTGCCACCTCCACATATCAGACCACATCCTCTGCATGGGGTCAATACCTGCTGCATGTTGCTGGCTGGGATCTGCTGGAAGCGCTCACATGCCTGCCAGAAGTAGACATTTTCGGCACTAAACTCCTTCTTGAGGAACTCCTGTGGGGCAGAGTGATGCTGGCCTGACTGCACCCAGGGCATGGGGTGCTTTGAGGCCAGGACTGCAGCTGTAGTCAGCACAGAGTGTGGGCTGCAGTACTCACAGTGAAGTAGGTGACAGCCACGCGGTCCTGCAGCAGTGTCTCAAAGGACTCGGCCCAGCTGACAACAGAACTGTGTGTATTGCTGCTGAGGGACTGCACTGCAGGCAGGCTGTTCACGCTGTGGTTGCTGCCCCTGGCTCTGGAGGCATTTAATTCTGAAAGAGAGAGAAAAGGTCAGGTCTGAGTCCCTGGGCACCGTGGCCACCCTGTGCATGGGCATTCAGCTGGAGTTGAGTCAGCCCCCAAAGAACTACTATCTGCAGCCCCCATTATCTGCCCCAAGTCTATCTGCCCCATCCTGGCTGCTCCAGCCCTGTGGGATGTGGGATGGGAGCACGAGGAGCTGGGCCGCTGCTCCATCACATCAGCATCACCATTGGACTGAGCACAGCGATGGATGGCACAAGCTGACACCTTCCGGCGTGACAACACTCCCTCCCAGGGCTGTCACCTCACTCTGCGTGTGACTCATCTCCTGGGAAACAAAGCCGGCGTGTGGGGAAGGCACCCAGTGGGGAGGGGAAGCAGGATGGCAGGAGTAAATGGCGGGCATGTTTCATGGAGAGAGCACGGAGGATGGCTGGAGGTACTCCCCAGGAACCATGCCTCTGCACTGTGCTTCAATTTACCTTCTCCATCCCTCCAGCCCTGACCACTGTGGGGGACACAGATCAGCCACCCAGGTCCCTAATCCTGCAGGAACCCCTGGTGAGCACAGCTGTTGGACTGGGAGAACCAGCAGCAGGAGGACAGGGCATGCAGGCAGGAGCAGCAGCATCCCAGCTGCTCCCCAGCAGGGAGGAGGCAGCTTGCTGCTCTGCCGGGCCCTGCTGTTCTCAATCAGTCCAAATCAAGGCATGACTTGGCAAACAGGCAGCATCCCCTCAGAGCACTGGGTTCAGCACGTCCCAGCCAGTGCTGCAGCTCCTAGCACCCAGGGACCCAGCAGAGGAGAGAGGGATGGGTGGGACTGCAGGGCTCCCCCTCCCCTGAAAATGCCACCAACCTCGTCCCAGCACAGCAAACAGCCTTACCTCCATCTGACACAGCCGGGCCCTGCAGGGTGGAAAGAGAGGTGAGGGAGGGCAAACAGCTAGAAATAGAGCCCCAGTGTTATCTACCTACAGCTGGAGCTGTTGCCCCATGGCGGGGGCAGGACATGGGACTCCCCCAGCACAGCAAGCAGGGCTGTGGGTCTGCAGAGAGCACACTGCTGTTTTCCCACCCACGTGCCTCTGCCGCCTTGGGTTCAGCAATTGGGAAAGGACGAATGCTGTCAGATGTGACTCTGCTGCTACGCAGGGAGAAGCAGCCTCCCCAACACAGGAAGAGCAGGGGAGGAAGGAGAACCACAGCCCCAGGCAGGCACGGTGCCCACTGCCTCCTGCTTTGGGGCCCGGGGCTACTGGAAATCCAGTGCCGAGGGGCTGGAGTCGATCCGTCCCTGAGCTGCTGGCCCAGGGCATCCTGCAGCATCCCCCAGGCCGCCTCGGGCAGCTCCCGCAGGGACGTGGCACCCAGGAGGATGGGCAGGGCCTCACGCTCATCCCCAGCACAGGGGTGGGCAAAGCGCTGCACCGCTTGGCGTGATTCCCCGGGCCGGTGCCCGCTGCCAGCCCCACACCCACGGAGCCGCCTTGTGACCCCCAGCCCCAAAAGCTCCACAGCATCCCCCTGCCCGGCCCCGCCGCAGCCCCGCACCTCCCACTCCCGCACCCACAACCCTTCCGCACCCATCCCGCTGCCCACCCCCCGTCGCCCACCCCGCACACCCCATCCCCGCACGCCCCAGGCTCGCACCACACCCCAGCCCCACCCTCCCTCTCCCGCATCTCCCCGAGCTCGGTACCCAGCCGGACCCCGCTCACCATCCGCCCGTTGAGGACCGGCAGCAGCTTGCCCTTGCCCTGCATGCCTGGCACGGCCCGGCCCAGCCCGCCGGGCTACCCGCCGCCCCGCAGCATCGCGGCCCGGCCCGGCCCTCCCGGCACCCCCGGCCCCGCCGGCACTGCCGCTTTCGGCTGCCACAGGAAGTGTCGCCATGGGAACCGAGACCGCAGCCGGGGGGAGCGGAGCCGCCCTCCCTCCCTCCGCCACCGCCGGTAGCGGCTGCCCCGGGTCCGCTGAGCGCCGGGCGCCGGGAGAGCGGCGCTGCCCCGGGGCGGCCGCGCGGCGTTGGGGTGCCGCGTCCCGGCGGTTCTGCCCCGAGCCCGGGGCTCCGGCAACCGCAGGGAAAGGGTGTTTTGGGGAGGGTGTTTTGAGACGGGCCGGGAAATGCGAGTGAGTGCCGGGCGGACGGCAGGGTGCCGCGGTCACTGCGGGGCGGATAACGGGATGCGAGCGGGGCCGGTGAGCGCGGCGCCGAGCCGGGCGGAGGTCCGCGCGTGGCGATGGCATCGGGGCATCGCAGCTCCCCCTCCCTTTGTCGCCGCGCTGTTTGCCTTGGCTCTGCACTGCGAGTTATAAATAAAAACTGCTCACCCAGAGCGCGTGAGTCACCGTCCTCCCTGCAGGGATAACTGCGTCGAAACACGAGCCGGGCGTGTGAGAAGCGAGCGCGTGGCTCGGTTAACCTCATCCCGTTAGCTTTGGGATGAGCACTGGCCCCGAGTGGGGCAGCGTGGGCTGCAGGGTGCCCAGTGCCTTGGATGGGCCCTGTGCGGCCTGATCTGGTTCGGGGCAGGTGATGGGGCTGGGGGCTTTAATGTCCCTTCCAACACAGGCCATTCTATGACTCCATGATTCTGTGAACATCCCTGTCCTGCTCCACAGCCCACGTCTCCCTCAGGCTGATGTGGCTCGGAGCAGCCATATCCCAGCGTCACCTCCTGTCATGCTCTAGGTTGAAGGGAAAGGAATCCTGGCCACACTTTGCCCCTGCACAGCCAGCTCTCAGCTGCCCTCTTTTGTGTCTGACCCTGCCCGTGGCATCCCTTGCTGGTGACTCCAACACAGTGCTTGTGGTGCCCAGGTACTGCGTCCTCCTGCTGTGCTAGCATCCCCATGAGTTGGGGAGAGGGATGCTCTGTGCCCCTCATTTTACCCCTGGGATCAGGAGCAGGAAGAGGTAGTGGATGGGTGACAGCTGGCTGGGGGATTTACTGAGGGCATTACTTAATGCTGTGAGTAAATGGAGAAACAGTAGCTAATTCAGGAGGCCATAATCCTCTTCCTCCCCCACAGACAGAGAGTGTGCCACTCACGCAGATGCCAGTGCCCCAGGGATGAGCCCCCAGCCTCTCCCTGGGTGTGCTGTGAGCTGCAGCCATTCCCAGACCGTGGGCGATGTGCAAGAGGTGGGGGGGAGGGTCTGGCTACATCCCTCCTGCCCCGAGCAGCTGCACTGGCATCAGTGCCCAGCTGGCTGCGCAGCACCAGGGCTTGTCCCCTAGCCTGCCAGGAGCTGCCTGGGCTCCCAGGGAAGGGGACAGGCTGGGCGGATCTTCGGTGGGGCCACCCTGAACCTGTGCACCTTGGAACAAAGTCCCAGACTTTGCTCAGGCCACAGACACAGGGCACCCATGGACGACAGGGCACCCAGCTCCCCACTGCAAAATGAGGGTGCTCTGCAGCAACCCAGCACCCTGCAGGACTCTCCCAGCTCCCTGCATCCTCGGGGGCTGCTCTCTGTCATCCAGAGGCTGAGCAGTTCCCCAGGGCAGGAGCTCCGCATCGTGCTGCTGGGGCTGGACAATGCAGGCAAGACCACGCTGCTGAAGCGCCTGGCATCTGAGGAGGTCAGCACCATCACTCCCACCCAGGTACAGGCTGCTCTGAAGCACGCGCAGTGGGAGGGCAATGGGTCCTGTCTTTCTTCCCCTGGGGTGATGCCAGAGTTTGCTTCCCCACACAGGGGTTCAACGTCAAGAGCGTCCACTCGCATGGCTTCAAGCTGAACATCTGGGACATTGGCGGGCAGCGCGCTGTCCGACCTTACTGGAGGAAGTACCTGGGCAGCACTGACCTCCTGGTGAGCCAGGGGCCATGCCCTAGCAGAGCCCTGCAGCAAGCAGAGGGCTGTGTGATGTGTGAGGAGGGGCTGCCTGCTGTTTCTTTTGTCCCCCCTGGCAGATTTATGTCATCGACAGTGCAGACCAGAAGCGCTTCGAGGAGACAGGGCAGGTATGAACGGTCTGGGCAAGGGGCGGTGGTGAGGTCCTGGGCACAGAAGTGGGGAACAAGGCTGTTTTTATGTGGGCTTCCCCATGGAGGTTGAGTTGTTCCCCAACCTGTGTGGGAAGGGCTCATGACCAGGGCCTCAGCACGCAGATCTGTCCCACCCCACAGCAGACCTGCCCCAAGCAGCTCTGCCCATCCTACCCTAGTTGGGGATGATGCCCCAGGGACATCTGACACAGGGTGCCTGTCTCTGATACGGCCACGTAAGAAAGCCATTTGCTCAGGTAGTGAATTGGGAGATGTAAAAGCTGGAAAGCAAAGCAAAGAATGGAAGGTGAGACAGTGTCAGCTGAGGCCATGCTGACATCAGACTCTGCCAGGAACACAGGCGTGGGCACCAGACAGTGTGGGCTGTTAGCAGCTGCCCTTTGCCCAAGGTGCTCTGGGTGCCAGGAGCGTTCTGTCTCTCAGGCAGTGCTGAGTGCGGCTCCAGTTCTCCTCAGGGCAGATGTAGCTTCAAGGGTTCCCATCTCCCCCTTGGGTTGTAGAGACCTCACAGCAAATTGAGACTCACCAGCACCTGAGAGAGGAACACAGCTCTGTGGGAGCAGCAGCATTCCTGGGAAGGGGTTCTCTCTTGGCAGGAGCTGGCGGAGCTCACTGAGGAGGAATCTCTGATGGGGGTCCCACTGCTCGTATTTGCCAACAAGCAGGACCTGGTGACAGCAGCACCTGCAGCAGAGATCGCAGAAGGGCTGAGCCTCCACACCTACCGGGACCGAGAATGGCAGATCCAGGCCTGCTCAGCCCTATCTGGAGAAGGCGTGCAGGTACAGAGCGAGCGGCTGCCAGCACTGTGGGTGTGTAGCAGCAGGCTGTGCTCATACCCCTCTTCCCCTCAGGATGGAATGAACTGGATTTCCAAGCAGATCATGAGCAGGAAGAAGTGAGAGCTGCAAAGTGACAGAGCTGCAGGTCACTAAGCCACAGCCAACCTCTCCTTCAGTCCCCACATACCCTGAAGGCCTGACCAGGCCCTGAGCCTTCAACTCATGCTCTGAGGGGTTTCCACACGGTTGTTCACCACTCATCCTCCCTTCTCTCCTCATCTTCTGGGCCTCCACGTACCCTGGGTCCTCCCCGGCGGAGAGAAGCAGGGCCCACAGCATTACAGCCTCTCACATCTCCCAGACGGGCATGGCTGCACCAGCGGGCACAGCCCATACACAGTGCGGGACGTGGCAGTGAGGATGTGGATCAGCGATGAGACGCAGCGTGCTAACGCAATGCGGGGACACTGTGCTGGACCGGCAGCACGGGCACTCAATAAAGCAGCCCCTGAGCTCCGCCGCCCTTCTGTGCTGCGCTTCTCTGTCCTTCGCGCAGCACCGCACGCGACACCCGCCGCCATCTTGTGAGGCGTTACCGTGGCAACAGGCTGCCGGAGGGCGGGGCGGGTCACGTGCCCCGCGGGCGGCACGAGGCGGAGCGGAGCGGACTGCGGCTCCCAACACACCTCGCGCTCGGGAGGCGCTATGCTGCCCGTCCCCGGGTTCGGACTGCCGCACGGCGGAAGTTGCAGCCTCGCTGGTCCCGCCCCCACCCCTCCCATAGGCGGGCGGGAGTGACGTCACCCCGCGGGGGCGGGGGCGCAGCGGTCTGGAAGCCCGTGATTGGCAGAGAGGGCCGCCGCTGCGGAGTGGGCGCGGCGCGGCGGAAGGCGGAAACGGAGGATGGCGGCAGGCGCGCAGCTGGCGGCCATCGCGCTGTTGCTGCTGGCGGGGGTCGGCCCACGGCCGGCCCCCGCCGAGCTTACGGATGGCAATAGCGAGCACCTGAAGCGCGAGCACTCGCTGATGAAGCCGTACCAGGGTGAGCGCGGGGCGCGGCGGGTGGGGACCGGGGCCTGGCCGGGGCTGCGCATTGAACCACGCTCTCTGCACTCGTCGCAGGTGCAGGCTCCGCCGCGATGCCGCTGTGGGACTTCCAGGGCAGCACCATGGTTACCAGCCAGTACGTCCGTCTGACGCCTGATGAACGCAGCCGGGAGGGCTCCATCTGGAACCGCGTGGTGAGCCCCGGGGTGGGCGGCTGGCGGACCTTTCCCCATGCCGGGCTGACACCGAGTCTGTTCCGCAGCCCTGCTTTCTGAAGGACTGGGAGCTGCACGTCCACTTCAAGATCCACGGCGCTGGCAAGAAGAATCTGCACGGGGATGGCCTGGCCCTGTGGTACACGCAGGAGCGCCTCGTGCCAGGTAGGTGGCAGCCCAGAACGGCGGCCGTATCCTGGGCTGCATGAAAGGAAGTGTGGTCAGTAGGGTGAGAGAGGTGGTCCTGCCCTTCTGCTCTGTGCAGGTGAGACCTCACCTGGAGTACTACGTCCAGGTTTGGAGCCCTCAACACAGGAGAGATGTGGACCTGTCAGAGTGCCACTGGAGGAGGACCACGAAATTGATCCAGGGGATGGAATGCCTCCCCTGTGAGGACAGTCTGGGAAAGCTGGGGCTGTTCAGCCTGGAGAAAAGAAGGCTCTGGGGAGACCTGACAGCAGCCCTTCAGTATCTAAAGGGGGTCATAAGAAAGAAAAGGACAGTCTCTTTAACAGGGTCTGTTGTGTTAGGACAAGGAGAAATGGTTTCAGACTGAAAGAGGGGAGATTGAGAGTGGATATAAGAAAAAATAAAGCGTTTTACACAAAGCATGGTGAGGCATTGGCACAGCTTGCCCAGAGAGGTGATGTGTGCCCTGTCCCTGGAGACACGAGAGGGGTTGGAGTAGATAACTTTTAAGGGTCCTTTCCAACTCAAACAATTCTATGACTCTGGGTGTTCAGCATGAGCTCCATGCACAACCTGGGTTCAGCAGTGCTTACATGTGTCCTGGGACAGCCTTAGAGCTAGCTCTCTGCAGAGCAGGTTTTGAGCTCCCTTTGGCCACCCCAGCTTAGAGAGGAGTGTTCTGCTCTGTCCATCCTGACCTGTGAGCCTGCAGCAATGCTCCAGATGAGCAGTGCTTCTCAGTGGCAATTGTGTTTTTCCCCTGGGGGCTGTGTGCAGTCTGCATGAGCAGGCCTGGTGCTGTGTCTGCTGTTCTAGTGCAGATTCTGCCTCGTTGGGCTATGCTTTGAGGTGAGGTAGGGCTGTGCTGCTTGTGCCAGCTGGAAGGAGTCTCAGTGTCAAAGACCTACAAACCAGGGCTTCAGGATGAAGGTACAGAACAGAGCCATCCGTTTACTGTGTTCTGCCCTGTTCCAGGTCCTGTTTTTGGCAGCAGGGACAATTTTCATGGGCTGGCTATTTTCCTCGATACGTATCCCAATGATGAAGCAACAGAGGTGAGTAGTTCAGGGAGCTCGCGCAGTGCTCAGGAGGCTGCTTCCTTGTGGCTTTGTGCTGCAAGTGCTTCATACCTGGACTGAGGAAAACTTTCTTTATGCAAGAACAGATTACGGTTCTTCCTGTCCTGTGAGCTGGTAAAGAGCAGAGGATGTATGTGCATTAATGGGGACAGGAAGGTGCTTGCTCCGTGTCATGGTGTTGACTGCTCCTTTGCTCCTAGGGCCTTTCCCCTGCTTCTGATAAGACAGTAGACACTGAATGTGAAATCTATCTGAAAATGTATTAATCCCAGGTGTCATTTCCTGGACTTCTCTGACCGTCTCACATTGTTTCTGGCCTTATTCTCCATCTCCAGCCTGTTTTTCTAAAAGAGAAACTCCTGTGCTGGCTTTCTTCTCCAGAATTCCCCACAGCGGTTGTGATCCTTCTGTCCCGCTTCATGTTTGTGGATCTCATTTTTTTTTTTTGAATTAACCATTATACCTTAATAAAACCATTATGACATGGTTAGACAATGTGACAGCATTAGTGAGGTCTGTTGCCCCAACCACTTGGTGACACTTCAGTCGTAAATACCTGGGAAGTGACCCTATCCACTTGTGTTGATGTTCAGTGAGTTGCTAATTGTTGCCTCCAGCTGCTCCTTACAGCACACATCACACTACTGACTACAGAATCTTGGATGTGGCTTTGCTGCTAATGTGCTGTTGCTGCCCAGTTTCTGTGCTGTTTGTAGGCTTCTGTCTCACTCCAATTAATATCTTACAGCTTCTCACTGGATCTTGTGCATTCTCTGCAAGTTACTCTGTTGGGCACTGTCCCACTGTCATGAGCCTCCGCTGCTGTGTAAGCCCATGAGGGGTCTTAATGCAGATGATCAGACAAGGCAACTCTGCTTTAGGCAGAACAAGCTCTCGCTCATTCTAGGGCCAGCTTTACGTAGGAAAGGAGCTTTGATTTAATAGTTGAGCTCTCTGTACTCACTTTGTTGCCATGCAGTTGCCTTGCTGTTGTTCTGGTCTCACTGAGGTTTCTGAGCAGACAGGGGAAGTTGGCTCTCGGGTCTGCAGCTGAAAGGCTGCTTCAGACTGAAGGCACTAACGCTCTCCCTGCAGCGTGTGTTCCCCTACATCTCTGCCATGGTGAACAACGGCTCCCTGACTTACGACCACAGTAAGGATGGGCGCTGGACGGAGCTGGCAGGATGCACTGCTGAGATTCGGAACCAGAATCATGACACTTTCCTGGCAGTTCGGTACTCCCGAGGTCGCCTGACGGTGAGATGTGCAGGGAGCCTTGTTCCTTCTGCAGGGCACCTCGTGCACGTACAGCAGGGTGGTACTGGTGGGTGGGTGGTGCTGTGGCAGTGTGTGGTTTGCCACGTTCGATCTCCTGCTCCTCTGGTTCCGAAAGAAGTGCTGGCTGGGCAGAGGGGCAGCCAGTGTTCTTGGTGTGACTCCCCTGGTCCTACAGGTGATGACAGATGTAGAAGACAAGAACGAATGGAAGAACTGCATTGACATTGCAGGGGTACAGCTGCCCACTGGCTACTTTTTTGGTGCTTCTGCAGGCACTGGAGACTTATCTGGTGAGTGGGCTTTGCTTGCAGGATTATGTGCTGCTTGGTGCTTGGAGTATAATGCTATGGATGCAGTAGATGGTGGCTTCTTGTTCATGGGGCTTTTGAAACTGTATTGAATCGGGACACGTGGCCTGAGAAAGGAGGCACCTAAAAGCATCTCAAATTATACCTGGGATGTGAGGGTTGCTTGAGAGGGAAGGAGACCTGCACCTGGCAGAGCACAGAGCTGGGGATGCCAGCGTGGGCATTTCTCAAGGCTTCTGACAGTCCTCAGTGCTGACGGTTGCTTCCTAGACAATCATGACATTATTTCAATGAAGCTATTCCAGCTCATGGTGGAGCATCCCCTGGAAGATGACACTGTTGACTGGACAAAGATTGAGCCTAGCGTCAGTCTCCTTAAATCTCCCAAAGGTGAGTGTCTGGGCTTCCCAAACCTTCGGTGAAGGACTTGGATCTTGGGGCTGGGCACCTAAAAATCTGGAAAAATCTGCCACAGTGTGCCTGCCACGAGGCAGGTGCCTGTGTTATGCATTGGTTATGCATTGGCGTTCAGTGGTTGCTGCCAGCAGCAGCAGCAGAGTGCATTTTGTGGGGAAAATGTCCATCTATCACTTGAGCGCTTGATCTCCCTGTTCTCAGCAGTGCTCCAGCATTGGTTTTTCCAGCAGCTTCCTGCTCAGCAGCAGGGCAGAGTTAGAGCTGAGATTCCCCCACTCTGAGGCATTGGTGGAGGTGAGGCTTGGTGAGTCTCTTGCTTCTCCTTGCAGACAATGTGGACGACCCGACGGGGAATTTCCGCAGCGGGCCCCTGACAGGCTGGAAGGTGTTCCTGCTCCTGCTGTGCGCGCTGCTGGGCATCATTGTGTGTGCTGTGGTGGGAGCTGTGGTCTTCCAGAAACGCCAGGAGCGGAACAAGCGTTTTTACTGATGGAAGAACCGGGCTGTGGAGCCTGACCCGTTCCTTTTCTATGGGGAGCTGTACAAACTGTGGTTTCTAAAAGCTGTTTCCGAGAAATACAAGAAGTATTTTCTTAACTGTCCCTGTGGCTGTAATCCTGCTGGACGCTTGCTGTCTAGCGGGCTGGACGTGGGGGGGGGG